CATTGTTGAACATGGCTGATATTGACTATCATAAATATATGAGACCTCGCTACAATTCTCTAAAACTGGTCCAAAAAATCAATTATTCCTTCTTTTTTCAATTAATAATTTGCAAGTCTCTATGGAAAAGTAGATTCCTAAAAGTGGACCCTGGAATTGTTAGCTCCACTGACTAGCTTGAAGACAAAGCAAAACTTGACTTATTAAATAGCTGAGCCTAATTGCAATGCATGGCTTTCATAGATCAGCTTTCAAGGAAAGGTCACCTCAAGTTTCCCATTTCACACCCAAGGAAAGTGACCAAAAGCATAAGACTTACAAAACTTCTTTTATAGTTTTCAAATACTACCTCCTAAGATATTTTCCTTGCAGAAATATCCCTGTTTTTTCTAACGGTATTAGTACCTATCAATTTTACAAACTTAAGAATTTTTATTTATCTCTGAGAGACAAAAATAGAAGAAAGACCATATTCCCACTTCTTAGATAATAAGCCCAACTACTGGTGGGACAAACACACACATTTAGAACCACACCTAATGCAATCAAGATTTTGGTAACTGGTTGCATAATTTTTTCAATTCATCAAAAAGTCAGCCAAAACTATGATGATGTTAACGGTGAAAGGCAAATTTGGTACTTAAATTCTAATCCATTCATTGATTTCAAGGACAGTGTAAGTTCTACAGCTGATTGTTTTCATGCTGGCCTACTAAAAAAATTAATCAACATAAAATTAATTAGATACTTACGAAGTAACAGGCACTGTTCTTGGTGGTTAGGAGGGATAGAGGAGCAAACCAAATTCAACAGTCAAAAATCTCTGGTCTCAGAGAGCCTACATTTGCCTCAAAATGAGGCAAAGAAATGAGCAGTTAACATACTTGTAATACACAAATAATCTTGTCTATTAGAAGAGGTAGATAAAAAAACTGGAAAAAAGTGAAAGTGGGTAGAAGGGTCATGTGTGCTGTGGATGGAGTGATTGTACTACTTATTATGGTGGTCAGAAAAGCCCCATTGACAAAAGAAGATCAGTAGATATCCTAGCAAAGAGGCAAGAAGCCTCCAGATGATCCTGGTGTGTTCAAAGAATAGGAAGAAAGCCACTGTGACTGAAGCAGGGTTGGCCAGCAGGAGTTGTGTGAGATGAGGTCAAAGAAAGAAAGAGAAAACATCATGCAGGCAGGACCTTGGTGACAAGCACAAGAAATCCTATTTGGAATGAAGGCAACATTACAGGTTTTCTAGCAAATGGTGTGATGTAACTTAAATTTTTAAAAGGATATATTATTAATCATCAAATATTTTAAAATTTTATAACATGATGTTATATAACCTTTTTCATCCATCTAAATCCCATTACATTGTCTTTCTCTCAAAATAAAATATGATTCTCATTTTCCCAAACAAAATGACAAATTCCAGGATGTCCAAGTAAATTTCCAGGATGAGATATATAGTAAGTAGTAGAACAGTGAAAGGGAAAAAAAAAAAAAAAAAAAAAAAAAAACACCTTAGTGTTAAAATGTTTCCTCTTTCCTAACTACTCATTAATGAAATAATGACTGGGATTAATCATCCAGATTATCTATCACTAGATGATCATTTTGTTATATAAAAATAGAATTGAGTTTCAACCTATTTTTAACTTATTCTAAATTCTTGGATACAATGGTAAAAGTAATTTCCTGAAATTTCTATTACATACGTACAGTCAGACTCAGCTTTTGGCTGCAGAAAGTACCCACAACTATTTAAATTTGCAACAGTGTATTTAGAAAGCTTTTCAAAGCCTTTAATTATTATTTCTTTCCTGTATTTAGGACAGGGTCTACAGGGCCTCACTATGTAGATCAGACTCTTGTGATTCTCCAGTTTTTAGCCTTCTAAATGCTGGGATTACAGGCATGTGTCACCACACCCAGTCTCAACCACCGTGGGTGGGGTTGGACGGCAAGCTGGGGGTCGAACCTAGCTACTGCATTCTGCCTAAACAGACTCCTTAGTCCGCTGAGCTATCAAGCCTGCCCTAATTATTATTTCTTAACTAGTACATTATACTTACTATGTTCAATTCACTTTATATATTTATCAAAATAATGATAATAGCAATCCTGTTCTGCAGATAACAAATGTGCATCAAGAGAAGCAAAGTATTAAAAGGTTACACAACTGCTTTGCACAAGAGCTAGGGTTTTACCCAAATCTCTACTTTGTAGATCCAGGTTCTCTTGCTGAACCACACTGCCTTTCTGCAGCATGATGCTCAACGTGTCCCCTCAACATTCTGAATTAAAAGGTCAGTCAGACATGAGTAGTCCCACTTTCTAGAAGACTGATCATAGAAAAGTTAAGCAAACAATCAACATTTATTTTATGACCATGATATGCAAATCAACATGTAGTTGCTTAAATCACAGATGTTTTATGATGTAGTATCTTGCCTCATGAGCTTATAATCTTAGGGAGGTAACAAAAGAGGCATTAAAATGTAATAAATAGTTTAAGATAAACATAGTAAGTTCCAAATGAGATATAGAGTCAACAATTGGTAAAGAAGTTCAACAGAGAAAAAACTGAATCTGGAAGCTTCTTTTCAGTTAAGAGCTTGAATAAAAGGACTTATGTTAAGATGATTTATACATGAAAGGTGTTTTCAATTATCCGAAAGAAGGAAAAATAATCATTCCAGTTAGAGGAAATAATATGACCAAAGGTCAGAAAAGTAGACAGGAAAGGATTATCAAGAGAAAAAGAAGCGATTCATTTGAAATGTAAAATAGATGGGAGTTGTTATAAATTGAGAAATGAAGCCAAGGGAGGAGGTTTTGAAAAAATCTTATTAAATTGAGAAAATAAAGAAAGGGGAAAGGAATTGATGTCTGTTGACCTGCTAAGATAGCAGATAAGCCTTGTGAATAGTACTTTTGTTTATGCGAACCTCTCAACAGCCTAATAAGACATAAAGGTAAACATATCATGTTCATTTTAAATCAAAGCAAACAGACATCATGTAATCAAGGCACAGCTTTGTGGCTGTGGATGGAGTACAGCTCTGGGAAAGATCTGTCTGCTCCCAAGCCTAGGATCCTTCCCGTATGTTTCACCACTATCCTCCAAAAGCAATGGGAAGTTATCGAAGGCATTTATTCAGGAAAAGTGAGTGCCTTATGAAAATCAGTATGAAACTAAAGGCTAATGAAGCTATGAGATCCTAACATGCACCCAGTATTAAAGGATTGGAGAAAGAAGACAGCAAGTCAGGAAAGTCACCTAGTATAATACATAAGCATAAGGTAAAAGACTCTAAAAAAGAGATATGAGAAGGTCACTGGACATACTCAAATCCTGATTCATGTACTATAGTTTCTACTACTGAACCATATAAACCAGGAAGAAATTTTCTTCAAATAAGGAAAATCCAAGGTGTATATTGAATATTTGAAGATTTTTAGTTTGTTCTAAAATAATAAAATATATGTTAAAAAAGATCTGCTCTAGTGTAATATAAAACTTATACCATCATCATAAATTATGACAGCTGTGTTCTAGGCTTTCTTCTCTGACAAGATTTGAGCGACACTTCATTACCTCCTCTGTTGGTACAGAGAGCAATTCCAAACTCATGCTCATTAGACATATTAATTACTGAGGAGACATCCTGTTCCTTTTGGCTTTTTGTTTTTAAACTTAGCATACACAAACAAGTTGAATTTTCTATTAAAACTACAATGTGTCATAACTGTAGCACTATTTCTTTCTGAGATTTCTCTCTTATAAGGTGCAGGGCCACTCAGGAATTCAAGTCAAAATTGAGAGCAATTAAATGGCATATATTATTTAACAACAAATTGGGTGTCTTCTTACTCCTGAATAATCCAAACTGTATAATTTCCAAAGATAAATAGACAGATAATAGATAGAATTAACGATCACCTATATTTTGCAAAGAGAGCGTTTCTATCAATACTCAGGCATTTAGTCAGTACTTATCCCTTTACGCAGTTTAGGATGGCAAAGTTGCCAAACCTGGCAATAACGAGCCTAACTGTATAAATCATTGCTCAATACCAAATGCTCACTTAACTTATCTTACTGTTTATTAATTGTCAAACTAAATATCTTATGTGCATGCATGTATATTTATAACAGGTAGATCTTATAATTCAGGTATTTAATTGAACAAATATTACATGTCCATATATTCATGCTAGAATTCAGAAGTAACAGTATTTTCACTCAGAATCTCTTCAGAAATTGCACACTTATCCCACTTTTCACCTAACTCTTTAGCATCACCTAGAATGCTAAAGGGTAATAAAATTGAACATATTAACCAGGGCTGATTTCCTTTTGCTTCATGGGTAACAATATATTTTTTATGAGCTTAAAATTAATCTTTAGTTTTAGAATCAAATGGTGCCACAAACCAGTAATTTAGACTTATAGCCAATGTAAACCTGTAATGTCTTTGAAAGTTTCAAGAAGGTAAACTTCTGTTATATTTCCAAAATGAAACTTTTCATGTAGAAAGAAACAATATTAATTCTAAAAAAGCATTTGTTGAAATACAATCCACATATTCTTTTATGTTTATAAACTTTATTTGCACATCTAATATGAAAACAGACATCTGTAAAATATGATTAAAGTCATCATTGGCACTACATATGCATATTTGCTCAATAATGTTACATTTTAACATACTCTTAAATTGAACAACTAGTCATTAGAAATGAATTCATCTGAAAACTGTGACTTAAAAGCCTGTCTCCAAATGACTCTAGGCGTTTCAAAGGTGTGCTAACTACACTGTATGTGTGGAAAAAGGAATCACAGATACCATTTATTAAATGTGCCTCCCTTTCTATTTTCTATGATATTTAGTATATAGTAATAGGCTGATGAGCAAAGTGTATTTTTTAAAAAAGGATATTATCCTTAACTTTCATGAAGTACTGTCCTGTGAGAATTTTTCTAAGGAAAAGTATTTTTACCTCCCAGGCCTGGTCTAAGCCGATTATCGTAGCCATCCAGAAGTCTGTCTAGAATCCTTGTGAAGATGGTAATGTTATTTTTAGCCTCATCTTCTTGGATGTTAGCCAGGACCAACCTAAACAGATAATTTTACAAGCTGACATATACACACATGTTTGTTTTACAAGCACCAACATGTTCTTCCTTGCTTTTTTTTTTTCTTCCTTCTTTGGATTTAAGTTTCCTTAAGTTACAACTCATTTCTCTCCTTTTTCAATTTTGTAAATGCCAGTATACCAATGGGAAAAGTAAACCTGGTTTTGAAAATGGATACTAAATAAGAGAGTATCAGAAGTTTGATGATTAAACTATGTAGTATTTCTATGCTTTAGCATTCCACATGGATAAATCCTTTTTAAAAAAATCTGTTCTCAATATAGTGAGCATGGATTATCACATGTATGACTGTTTAGCAATGTTATTTTACAGTTAGTACAATAATCAAGGGTACTTCAAAATAATTTTTCAGTGTTCTGAATATTAATCAGAAAATAAATTGCCTGCTGGAGTGCTCCAAATGTCTCTATCTTCCTCATAAACGTCTTTGTGATTCTCTATGTTTTGTGCTCTTTTTAAACCAAGACTGTTTCCTTACCTTGGGTATACCTCCACCCAATGGCCAACAGCAATATAGACATCAGGGAATCTCCACTGGCTCAGTGCCAACCTCCGTAGCGAAGGAGGAGGTGGGCTCAGGAAGCTTTCAGCAACACACACTGCTGTAGAACTCCTAAGATACTGGTCCCTTTTGGGTAGTGTCCAAAGAGTAGTAAGGGGCCACATAAAAATGGACATGCCTAGCTACTCTTTTCTTGGTGAAAAATTTATAGGAAGAACAAATGGCCTTACAATATGTTAAGAAACAGTGCTTTTCTCTATTAGTTCTCTCCATCATAAAGCCAGAGACCTGATTTTCTGTGGCATCCAGCAATTTGTTACTAAATGTATAAAACAGAATGTCCCCTTTCATTGCCATATTTTTTTCTCACAATGATTCAGAGATTTAAATTACTGGCCCCAAAAAAAGAATCATTTATATAATAGAATAAAATACTGGCATGAACACTACTGGTCAAATATAGAACACAAACCTAGTAGAAAGAAATTTAGTTAAGCATGAGGATTTTGAATCCTTTTTGGTTGATCATAGATTACTCATGCCTCTCAAATTAAAGATCAAATGTAATTATATTCCGATCAAAATGTATTGTGTAAAAGATCATTAACAGAATCCCTCTGCATTTAAATGAAAACAGAACTAGTAGCTAAAAATACTCATCACACTCCAAAAAACTGGTAATACAATTTAAACAAATATTATTCAAAAAATAAATATTAAACAGTAATATGAACATAAAACATTTTCAAGTTATATAATTAAATCAGTTCATACCTTCTAGGCTCAAAAGTTTCTATACAGCCTACTTCAGCTAATTTTTAAGCAAACCACTGATAGTTACAAAGTTCTGCATAGAGATTTTCATTCAAAAATATTACGATCATATTCTATATTTACTTTCTAAAATCAACATTTAGATGTTAAGTGAATAGGTGGTTTGGACCCCATTACACTCTTCTTTTTAATTTCAGAAGATAACTCCCACTTTACCCATTATTTGAACAGAAACATAAAACTTAAAGGGGATTAAATGAAAAAAATTAAACAATGGTCAGAAACACTTTTTCACAAAACTTGTATAGTAATTCTTTTGGTATTGTAAAGGTATTAAATAAAAATCTCACTGTTAATTTAAAACTCAGAAAAGACTACAACTAACGTGAAAGTATTTAAAGCAATAAAATTAATTTCATGTTTGTAGAACACCGGTGAAAGAAAATTAGTTACACATTTGAAATAAGTACTCACTGGCACAGTGAACGTTTTAGTAATAAATGATCTCTAAATTAATAATGTGAAAAGTTGATGAATAAATCAAGCTTTGTTTTCTTTTGTGATTGTGAAGTTGTGTACTATCTCCACCTAGAGGCTTAAGACTCACATGTCATTTGGGGTTTCTGTATTGACTTAAAGAGCCAAGAGTACTTTCAAAAAGAAAGAAGGAAAAAAAAAATAATAAGTTCCACTCAAATCAGCTGGTACTTTTTTCTTTCACTTGGAGGCCAATTTGACTTCATTGCTGAATTTTGGCATTATGATAAGTGCATAAAACTTAACCACTGCAACTCCATGTGGGAATTTGCCATTGAAAGCATCATCTTTCCTTCAGTGAATCTATTTTGTAGGAAAATGTTTTTCTTTACTTTCGCATTTGATTGCTTAAAAACAAGAAGCAGTGAACTTTTTTACAGTCTGTCACTTCATGCTTCACTTTCCCAGTACAATTTTTCAAAACACCCTGATTTTCACAAGCTACAGCTGCATTGATAGCATCTAAAAACCATCACTTCACCCTGAATTAAAAGGATCAAACACCATTGAGTGTCTCACCTGGCTGGGTCCCACAGCAAGAAAGCAAGAAGGAGCGACTGCATGTTGGAGATGTTCCATTTCGTCTTCATCACCCCTCTTCAGAAAGCCATGGAAGAAAAACAACATATACTTAAAATTGTTTTCGGTCCCACCCCGCAGGTCACCCAAAAGAATGTGATTTCAGCAGGTAACTGGAGTTAAAGCTATGAAAACGACTTCTTTGAACTGAGTGTAGGGCATGATGACTAGAGTCGCAGGATTCTTTCTTTCAGTACGCCAAGATGACCAGCGAATGAGTCCTTTTGCTCTGCCAAGAACTTCCCCCAACCCCACCATCAATAAACGCTGTTTCCTGCACCCATGAAATAACACCAGAGACTCCAAACTGACAGAGAGCTGGACAGGGAAATAGGCTGAAGAGCAGTGGGGAGAGGAGAGAAAGGCACTGCATACCACAGTCCCCTCCGCCACGACCACCCCCGCAACCACAGCTCGAACAGCCAGCGGCCGTCAGCTCACTTTTTCAACGATTATTCTTTTCATGACAGTGAATCACGATCCTCATGCCTCTACTTCAACATCAGATCAAATCAAAATCTCCCTCTTGTCTACGGTTGCCCAAGACCACGTCTTAAAGGAAGGCTGGCCCGGATCAAGTGCTGCGAAACGACGCGTTTGACAGCTGCTCTGGAGCCAACGACCACAATAAGCGAAGGAGCGAGAGGCTCCGGCTCCACACAGCAAGGCTGGCAGCGGCGATCCGCGTGCAAAGTTGGAGACTATAAAAGAGCCAGGCTAACGTGCGGCCAGGCAGGCGCTCGAATCTGAACGTAATAGTTGCAAATATGCTTTGGGGATGAATACTGAGATTATTTTTTAAAGAGGCTGGGGAGGAGAGAGAGAGACCCGAACGTCCTCGGGTACCAGGGAGCTCCCAGAGTGGGGCGGGGGGACGCGAGACATGCACGCCAGGCGCAGGCGGTGGGCACCAACGTGTGCGACCCTACCTGAAACAGCAAGCAGAATTCGATGCTTTCCTCTCTTTGCCGTGATCGTGAGGAAATAAGAAACTTGAGAGAGAGAGAGAGAGAGAGAGAGAGAGAGAGAGAGAGAGAGAGAGAGAGAGAGAGAGAGAAACAGACTGCAGCAGCGAACCAGCTAAGAGCGATGCGATGTGCGATGCGCTGGAGGAAGCCGGAGTGGAGCGCGAGGAGGAGCGCGGCAGCGGCGCGGAGTAGCAGTAGGCGAAGGCGTCCGTAGTGGCGGCGATGGGTGGAGGAGGAGGGGGGAGGGTGGCAGGAGCTGGAGGAGGGGGGCGGAGGAGCGGTGCGCGCAGACGGCAGCGGGCACGAGCCCGGAGCCTGGAGGAGGAGGAGCCAGGCTGGGGAGGAGGACTGTACAGGTTCCGGGGAATGCAGGGACCCCCCACCCCCACCCCGCCCCCTCACTCCGGGTTGAAGACCGCCGCCCTCCCTGGCACCTGCAGCTGCGCAGCCCGGGACCGCATCGGGAGCCCCGGTGCGCCTGAGCGCTGATCCCTGCGCCCACGCCGCGAGGGAGGAGCAGAGCCCACGAGATGCCGGGCTGCTCCCCGAGCCTCGGAGGTTTCTGGGGGCTGCTGATGGAGACTGGTGCGGAGCTGTGAATGTCACGCGTCCGCGAGCCCCTGGATTCCCAGGGCCGTCCGCCAGTTGGCCCAGTATCCCCGTGCCGTACCGCGAGCAGCTGCCTAGGAGCAGTGCCGAGGTACCACTCCCGCGAAGGGCGAGGAGACTAATCACGCCTTCACTTAGTCATCAGCGCAAACACGCAGGACCAAGTTGCGTGGAATCAGGCAGTAGGAAGTTTCTTTGATTTCGTGAGCCCATTTGACACGCCACACGTTCCTCCAAGCTCCTGCGGTCAAGACCCATTTCCCCTCAAAGCTCAGCGGACTGGAGACTTCCGTGTCCAATGTGCAGCTTGTACACCTTGAGAAACCTCCCCCTCGCTTTTAGCAGGCCCTTTTCCCAATCTCTTTTCTTAGACATTTTCCGTAGTGAGTGATCAAACTCAATCAACAGCTCTGAAAAGTTTACATACCCCTGAACAAAAAGGGACCAGCTGTGCCTCTACTACCGCTGCAGTTCATTTGCCAGGGGGCAAAACGTACCCCGGTTTGAGGTTTTCTCCCTTTAGGGCTTTTTGCTTGTAAGAGACTTGTAATTCCAGTCTCATTGCATGCTGTCTGATCTGTGTGATTTCCGTTCTCTTTTATCTACAGCGATAAAAAAAAAAAAATCCAAACATGCAACCTGAGCCGTGTGTGTGTGTGTGTGTGTGTGTGTGTGAGAGAGAGAGAGAGAGAGAGAGAGAGAGAGAGAGAGAGAGAGAGACAGAGAGAGAGAGACAGAGAGAGAGACAGACAGAGACAGAGATATTATTGTTTTGCACTGGACATAAAACAGAATGCTATGCACATCCCACTAAGGGAAGGCCTTGCCAGTGTTTGTCTCTTCTAGAACTTGTTATAAACGTTAGATACTTTAAGAGGGAAAAAAAGGTAAGTATGCTGTTTCTGTCATTTCACACTCAGAGTCAGTATGTGCCAAACACTTCAGGTTTGTCCGTTATGCACCAAAACTTTAAATGCTATTCTCGAATGAGGCAGTTTTTGTTTTTAATGAAAAAAAAAATCACTCTTACTCTACAATAAAATTTAGCTTTGGTTTGAAAGTAATATGAGGAGAGTAAAACCTTTACATGGTAAGTATAATCGAGCTGTCCTTTTTAGCCTATTAGTTATCATTTTCTGAATGAACGTTGAATATGCTACAGTCTAAACAAACATTTGCTCTCTTATTTGGTTTTGTGAAGAACAGAATACCACCCAGATTTCTCCTCCATCATTAATATTCCCTTCCTGACTTCCCCCATTGTACAGTCTAATTGAAATTCACAAAGAAAGAAAGCATGTCATTTAAAACCACAGAGCCAGGGAATCTTAACGTCTTGTATTTGGCTGGAGCACTTCATTTCCTACTGTATTTTCCTGTTGTATATCTATGAGCCCATATTCACGAGGCTTTCTCAGCTCTGCCATTTGTATTACTCCTAAAAGTGCTCAGATATTGATCATGCAAGTCGAGCAGTGCATACTTTCTTCCCCATCTTAATTGCCGAGATTCAACAAAATTTCTATTTCGTGAATGTCACAATTTTTGTAAATATATTCATATATTATTTTCATTCCTACATTATAGTCTTTTCCCTGGATACTGTTTTAATTGCTTTATTGCAAAATTTATAGCAAATGAAATGACTTGTTTTTTTTTTTAAATCAGTTTTCCTATTAGCAGCTTTATGAAGTCTAAAGTGTATCAGGTGATTTTCACCTTTTGTTTTTGCTTCAAAAAGTATGTTAGAGCAGTTATGGATTAAGTTGAACCCACTATAAAAACTAACTTTTAAAAATCTGATAAAATTTTGATTTTTAGTTTCTCCGTATGAAATGCTCTTGGTGTTTCACTGAGGTTGGGTAGTTTAAACTTCAAAGCACCTTAAAGGAAATGGAAGTCAGAAAAACTGATTGCAGGCAGTAAACCTATTGCTATCTATATAGATAAAGTATTTCACTATATTACTATCCCAGCCATATTTCTTTGAAAATTTAGAGGATAGTCCAGCTTCACCACACAATGAACACATCCAGCCTGATTTCCTTCTCAACTCTGTGACAGAGTGCAGGTTAACTGCCCTAGATCAGGGGCCTGTGAGTGGTGGCTGTTCGTCCTCCTGGTCCCTCAGTGTGGATCATGTCCTAAGGCTACCCATACTGAAGATTTGACAGAACTTAGTTGTCAGTGAATCCATTCCTACCCAGGTCTGGGCAGTGTAAGAACTTCTTTTAGTTTGGAAAGTCATATAGCCCCAACGAAACACCCACATTATGGAGAAAATTTCCATATGAGGACCAAGGATAAACAGAAGGAACTTAGTTTCCCTAATTTTTCCAATCCTCTGTCTTTCACTATTGTATAATGTTACAATTTGTTTCCAGACTGTTCATGTTTTTGAGCAGACATTTTATGGAGCTTCCATTTATGGGGCCTTAGGGAAATACTACTCCATCTACCTTAAAGGGATGCACAAATGTTCAAATATCTTTTATATAAATATATATATATATATATATGAATATATACTTATGCTCAAATATATGTTTTCATGTTATGATATGTATTTAAAATATTTTATTGTATATAGTATATTAATATGCATCTCTATAGGTACCTGAAAGAATAAAAAGACATGAGCATTTTAATAAGAACACCAAGTAAATGACATGCTTCCACAAAATTAATCTGATTTTGCTACAACCTGACGTGACTATGATGATTTTACACACTTTTAAAATAACTATCGGAATTATTTCAACAAGACTTTGCCATAACTGCATATCTTTTTCTATATGATTATTCCTTCAAGAGAGAGGCATAAATTTAAAAAAGTTAGAAACTAAACTCAAACAGATTTTTGTGCTTTCATAAAATTAAATGCTATCTGATACCCACAGGGTGTAGGTGCTTTCAAAACATGCTTAGCATATAATTCTGTTCTCACATATTCACTCCAACACCCAAACAATAAAACAAAAATAAATAAATAAATAAAGACAAACAAGGCAAACTAGAGCAACTCACCCTCTGAGGATTTTATATCAAAAGTATTGCTTGATCAGACTCCATTTTTTCCCTCTAATCTCAATTAAATAGACGCCTACGTTCCCAGGTTCTGAAAGAAAACCAGTTTGGAAAGTAGGGGTATCTAGTCTGATAAACAAATAATCTCAAAACTACTGTCTTTCATTAATGTAACTAGGTCACATTTCATTAGGGCTAAATATAATATGTACACTAGCTAAGATAGCTATGCACATTACCTTCTTTAAATAGGAGTGAGTAATTGTATTTTAAAAGTAATTTTACAGGGGCCTGCCCCTTAGCTCAGTTCTTTAAGTGGCTGCTTCAACAAAGCAGTCAGGATCAGGTTGCTGTGGTTCGATCCCCACAACTCAAGCCAGCCAAACCTGCCCTGAAGGCATTCGGAGCAAAAAATAAATAAATCAATAAATAAAAGTAATTTTACAAATCCTTGTCCAACAAATCCAAATCCAAATCCTTGCAAATGAAAAGTATGAAGCATTCAGGACTTCTTGGAGGGTTCTGATACTTAAAAACTTAAATGTTTACACATTGACACACACATAGAATCATTAGTAAAGAATTTCTTTTGTCTTCCTTTGCTGAAATAATTGGTAAAATTGATTCTCAGATTACATAATTGTCTCCTAAAACAAAGGTAAAGCTCCAGTAATTTGGAAAGAAATATCTCTCTGGAAAAATATACAATATATTTGTTGAAAAGTCCATCAGCTGAAGCCTATTTTATACTACCTGAAATGCACTGATACCTCAATTCTCAAACATCTTTATTGGCAACCAATTTGGTTCACAAACAGAAGTGTTTGGCAATGTTTTTGTTTGTTTGCAAACTATGCTTTGGGTGACAAACATGACTGAGCCATTTCCCCAACAGAAACAAAAACATGGCCGCCATTTTTTTTTTTTTTTTTTTTTGTACCAGTGGTCAAACTCAGGACCTTGTGCTTGCCAAACAGGCGCTTAAGCTGCTAAGCAACTTCCAGGCACACCTTTCCTTATGTCTGGTAATCTGAACAACTAATCCGAAGACAACATATGCAATATAATAACCATTGTTGAATGCCTATTATTTGTAGAAATATAAGAAATGATACAGAATTGTAAGGTAAGGTAAAATAGGCTTCAACTGGAGGATTTTTCTAATATTATTTATACCATCAAACTCTCTGAATCTAAGGAAAACAGAAAAAAGCTGTATTTGGAAGAAATAAGTAAAAAACATAATAAGGTTATGAGTATTTCATGGTCAGTCAGAGACAAGGCACAGAAAATAGAAGCCAATTATTCTGAGAAGCTGAATAGTTCCATTGCAAATTAATTATGGATTTGAAATGATTTTAAATATAGATCATATCCCCTTTGTAGAAATTCTTTGTATTTGTCAGAGTGGCTTGCTCACAGATACACAATAAATAATTACTAATTTTGTAGAGTTAAGTACTTTAGAATACAAAAGTTGGAAAGTTATTTTAGAATTAAATATGGCCAGACCGTGGGTGGGCAGTCTCAGCTA